AGTTTTAATAAATTGTAAAATACTGTACATATCGTTACATACATTAATCCTAGCATATCTTATACCAATGCTAAAATCAAATTAATTTCAAATACACAGCCACTAAACTTTTGATACTGTGCACTTTGGGATATATAGCATATTTGCAACTGCTACAACTTGCAGATATTGCGCATTTTTAGATATTGTGAATTTGCAGCTTGTGGACTTCACAGATATTAGAAACCTTACAACATTTGTTGAATTTCATGGATATTAGAAGCCTTGCAGTATTTGTTAAATTTCGTGGATATTAAAGCCTTGCAGCACATATAAATATTGTGTTATATAGAATAAATATAAATACACAAGTAAAGTATACTTCCTTATTATTAGAATTCATATATAGTAATATGCTACCTAAAAAAGAAACTCTAACTGATACCAAAAAATGCGAGTTCTATTTTTATGCTCATAATAATAAAAGAACTTGAGCTCAGTATATAGTTTGAATTGAAGAAAAATGGGGAGTTAGATTTCATAAATCTACTATTACAAGAATTTTACAAAGTAGTAATAAACGACTTACTACTAAAATTGCCAATCCAGAAACAAAACGACATTGATCTGTCACTGTTCTAGAACTTGAGTTAACACTTAAAGAATTTGTGCTATATTACCAGCATAGAACTATATTGAGTGACGTGATGCTAATTTAAAAAGCCAAACTGCTTGCTAGCAGATTAGAAATTTCAGAAGGAACATTGCGATTTTCTTCTGAATGGCTTCATAAATTTAAGAATCGAAATGGAATTCATCAGGAAAAACTTCATGGAGAATCTGAATCTGCTAATAATACTACTATTATTGAAGCTTTACTATTACTGCATGATAAATATGCTAACTATCCTCTTGAAAGAATATATAATATGGATGAGAATAGACTCTTTTATCGATTGGAACCAGATTGAATCCTAGCAACAAAACAGCTTTTTAGACATAAAAAAAATAAAGAGTGTATTTCTATTGCATTGTGTGTAAATGCTGATGGATCACATAAATTAAAACCTTTGATTATTGGAAAATATGCAAAGCCAAGATGCTTTAAAAATATTAATATTTTTAACCTTCAAATGATTTATCAAAATAATGCTAAAGCTTAGATGTTATTAACTCTTTTTCAAGAATGGCTTCAAGGATTTGATTTTCAGATATCTAGAAAGCATAATGGTCAGTGTGTTTTATTACTTCTTAATAATTGTCCAAGTCATAAAATAAATAGACTAGTTCTTTTACATGTTGATATTTATTTCTTACCTCCAAATACAACATCAAAAATTCAGCCAATAGATGTCAGAATCATTATGTTATTTAAAAAAAATTATCATTGTCATTAAATCTAATAGATGTTAGACCAGATTGAAGCTGGTGAATCTGCAAAAAACTTGAAAATAAGTATCTTACAAGGCATTTGATATTCCATTCAAGCTTGGAATGAAGTTAAGATAAAAATAATTCGTAACTGCTAGCATCATACTGAAATTCTTCCTGTCAATGAAAATATTAAAGAAAATATTGAAGATGACTTACTACTTAAAGAACTTTATGATGTACTTAAAGTTCTTAATTTCCTGATGGTATGCAAGCAGAAGAGTTTTTAGTTTTCTCTAAAAAGAATATTACTTATGAAGTTCCTAAAGATGATAATATCATTGCAGAACTTGTAGATATATTTAAAAATAAGTCTAATGAAAATCTAGATGAAGATGATAATAGTATTGAAATAGAACTCATTAGTATAAGTGTAGCATCAATAAGTTTAGAGACTTTTTATGTATTTTTACTTCAACAAAAAGGTACTATTAAATATTTAAAATCTATCAATATTCTTGAAAAGTTTAATATAGAAAAAAAAAAAGCAGTTTAATAAAACAAACTACTTTAAGCAATTTTTAAATATCAATGAATAGTTATAATATGTTGTTAATAAAGAAAAATATTTTTTGATTATTTATAAATTTTTATTTGTGACAAAATTTTCTAAAACTGGTTAATCTTATTTATTATTAATTGTAATTAGTAAATCCAGTATTCAATATAATAAAAACAAATAAATTTATTGTTAATATATTATAAAAATCTGTTAAAATACAGATTTTCTCTTAATACACACCTTGGTCCTAAGGGAAGTGCATTTAGAGAGGTCTGACTGTAGTAATCATCAGCTTAGAAGAATTTTTACATTAAGATGTGTCTTATACAACAAAAAAATATATATTAGCTAACCTGTTCTAGATATGGACAATGACTGAATAATTTATTTTTTTTGATTAAGATACAGAGTATATTATTTATAGCGCATTTAAATATTTTTATTATACTAGAACTATTAGAGCAGATTCTATACTTCCTAGCAGTAGATAAGATACTGTATCCTGTTCTATTTGTATTCTGATTATAGTATAGATGCAGTGCTTTTATTCTATGAAAACACCTGAGATATAAGCACAATTTTCCAGAAGATTATAATTATTGTGCAAGAGATCATACTCGATGGAAAAGATTTGTAAAAATAATGTGCGAAAAGCATAAACCAGCTTATGTCTCAAATACAACTCATTTAGAAATTACTTTTTACCATTCACTTTCAGATAAAAATATAAAAAATATTGTGGAAACATTTCTGAATATAATTCATTTAGATTTTAAAGATAGTATAGGTTTTAGTGATTAATCACTATTTGTAATAGTAGAATCATATCCTAATTTGAGATATATTAATTTGTGGGAAGCTCAAATAACTGATAAAGGTTTATATGCAATTACGTAATCATATTGTAAATTAGAATATCTAAATATTTCTTACTGCAGAAATATTAGCGATAAATCTTTGTTTGAAATCGCAAGAAATTGTCATGATTTGCAAGAGTTTTATTTTGCCGAAGTATGTTAGATCACAAATAGATCTATAAGTTGCATCTTAAACTCATACTCAAATTTATAAAAATTTGATATTGCATTTAATTGTAAAAATGTTAAAGATGCTAATACTTTAATGCAAAGATGCTTTAATATAAAGTATCTCGACTTTAGTGATGCTATGGCTTTATGGAATGATAGATTAATTATAGCTATTATCAAAAGATCTCTGAATTTAAGATATATGAAAATCAGTGGTAATGATATTGGTGATAAGGTTACTAAAGCACTTGGCTCATACTTATCATAAATTGGAATATCTTGATTTAAATTACTGTTATTTTATCAGTAAACCATCGATTTGTAATATTATACGTTCCTATTCAAAACTCTAATATCTTAACCTTAGTTGCTATCCCTTAGACTGTATAGTAGGCAAATTTGCCTGCGAAATTTAAAAAAGTGTTAATTTCTTTAATAAATGTTAAATATTAATTTTAGTAATATCATTACTATATAAAAAATATAGTTTAATATATATTTTATCAACTTTATTAACAAAGATTTTAAGTTTTTAAAAAGGTTTTTAAAATAA